TACTGTAATTAACCCTATAATGCCTTTAATTTTAATATTGCTGTTAAAATTTTTTTTAATTGTCTGTCTTTTTTAGGGTCGCAGACTTATGCAATAGGTTTCTATAGAGAAATTGTGGACAATATGACCGTTTACAATGCGCCATAAGCCGCATTACGGATCCGTGGTTAGTGCGCTTTAAAATTCTAAAAATGGGGTTTTCTCCATATAAAAAAAATAATAATTTTTTTTCTTAAAAAGTATGCCATATTTTGCAAAGTTGCTAATAATAAAAGTTATTTATAATTGCGTAAGCAGTCCACAGAAAAAAAATCAGATCGATTCGTTGAATTTTGACCCTAATTCCATAATTTCTTGATTTGGGACCAGTGTGCGACGCTCCAGCTCTGAAAGTATTCAATTCAGTACCCGCTGGTGGTAGCAGATAAAGAGGGAGGCCCCCACTGCGATGGAAAGACCAAGTGGAGAAGAACTTGTCTTCACTTGGCATTTCTAATGGGCGTCATTCGGCACAGAAGAGAAATGACAGGCGTTCTATATTTGGCCAAAATCACTTAGGCGGTTACAGCGCCAATAAATAAGAAGATAGTGGATAATTTCTTGAGTCTAGAGATGTGCAGCTGCCCCAGTAACCCACCTGGTTCTGGAGCCACCTATCGGGTCCATTTTTTGCAAATATATTTCTCGTGACGCTGGTAACATGTATTTTGAATTTGAAGCAAATCGGACCATAAATGAAATTTTTCGGAATAACTCGACTCCTGCACCACCTACCGGAAATAAACAAATCCAATTGGCACCTCTTATTTGAAACACCTTTCGAACAAAAGAACAATCATTCAAATCGGTTGAAAAACATAGGAAAAGTAGGGAGGAATAGATTTGTATGGGATTTCATTCATATAGATTATAAATAAAGTTCAAGAGGAAGTTTTTTGATATAAACATAATCTGCTTCTCAGAGAAATCCTGACAAACACATTGGCAGAGAACGTTTAACCTAATTTCTATAAGTAACCATATGAATACTAATCCATTTCAGGCAACTTTCAAATGTATAATACAGTCGAAGATATTCTGGATTTGACCGAAACTGATTTGAAAGACAAAGGCATACGACAACCGGGCCATCTCGCAAAAATGATGTCTAGTCTAGTGGTTGTGCAGGCCAAGCGGCGCCAGTCGGTAAATATCGAAGGTTCGTATGCACATACTTATGTACATACATACATCCATATTGTATATTTACAATCAAAAAAATAATTGGATTAAGTGTTTACTAACCTAAATGCTTAGCTGATTATAAAGCGCATTGCGCAAAGAGCATATTATTTATTTATCTAACTTTAATTAAAGGCGATCACTTAACAACAAACATGTACACACTTCAATGATATCGTTCAATTTTATATTTATTTATAGTGTCCACTTTGCCGCGCACGATGGCCAAACGAAAAAATTCTTGCCCACCAGTTTATTTATCCAGCGATGTTAGTGAATTATATGGCACGTTGCATCGCACTAGCAATAATCGTAGCTCATTTGCAAATTTGAAATCCACTAAAGAATCGAAACGATTGACTTTCGGTAATACTAATATGATGTAAGTACAATTTGGTTCAAATCAACTTGTAAATTTCGCTATAACTAATATTTATAACTTCGAGTTTCGAGGCTGTCAGGCAATAACCGAAGGCTTCTACCTTTTGAAATTATAACTGTCAAAAATGAAGTGAGTGCCGAGGTGCGTAAGCGCTGACGAATTGTTTGATGGCATGACACATCTAGACCCTTTGCTTTGTTTTCACATTCCACTTGGAAAAAGCAGAACAAATACGACGTTAAAGTATTGTACCTGAGCCATTCAATTCTGCAGCTGTGATTATGTTTTCCTCCATCAAATTAAAGAAGTCGCACGGTAGAGAGTCTCTGAAACTTGGTTTGGTATCGAATGGGTCAAAGTGGTCCATTCCAATTTCACCAAGCAACGGAGTGATATTGTTCATTTTAGATTCGCGGTGATTCCTATTTCAGACATCGTGACGTATAGGTAATTCTCTTTTGATCTTTCTATCTGTCCTCTTCTCGAGGATCTTTCCTAATGCATCTTGAATTAGGTTTATTTAGGTTTATGTCTAAAGCCACACTTTTATCAACTATTCGCCACTGCACATGAGTAGTTCAGCTGACAAGCCGATAGCTCCGGAAGCTTTGTCATTGCATTCCAGTTATTAAACGTGCACAGATTTCTCGGTTTAGAGAATTTTCTCTACTGAACAAGTATATGTAATTTGCAACCCTAATATCATTTAAACCAATCTGATCGTAAAATTTTATATTTTTTAGCATTAACGTGCTCGGAACGTTTTAAAGTAGGACCGCTCTTTGTGTTGCTAAGGGCAATGTTACGCAGACGAACATATGATTCCTGGTCACGAACTGTTGTTGCTTGCACTGCACAACGAAAGAGCGAGCGAGAGAACTGAACTGCATGACCAATCGGTTAAAATTTGACCAGCCGGCTGAGACCGAATCACTAATCAAAAGAGGGTTGGCTTGTGAATACAATTTACTATTTGTTCCTTTTAGTAGCGAAATGTAGTATTTGTCATACTATTTCTCCTTTTAGTAGCAGAATGGTACATTTTTGCTGCAGATGTATACAAAGTAGTAGATATGTAGAATAAAATTAATGCTAGCAAACCTTGTTTTATTTGCTTTTAACATGTTGTTATACACATACATATACCGTTTCTTATTTTTTTCGTCATACACAAATGTAAAAAGTAGTAAAACAAATAGGCCAAAGAAATACAACTGAGACAAAGAAATACGCTGGTCACTTGACTCTCTGCATAACACCATGTTGGTCAAAGAGTGTAAGAATGGAAAAAATTAGAGAAAAGTGCCGTGACCAGGGATCATATGATCGTCTGCGTAACATCACCCTTACAGTTACTTCAAAATTTTAGGTAGCCCAAAATATTAATATTAAAAACAAAAAGGTTTTCATGAATTTGGAGGAGTGGTATAATGGTTACACCCAGAAAAAGGATTAGTTATAATAACCAAAATTTGGTTATAGTGACCAAGTGGCAGAGTTGGATATGGCGAAATAAATAGTCTAGTTCGCAATTTACTTGAGACTTCTAGTTGGGACAAATGTAGGCGGGCATTTTTTGATTTTCCCAACACATGTAATTGAGCATCAAAATGCTGCTTGCTGCGACGTCGATACATGCCCTGTAGGGAAACCGCGGACTAGTGAATCAAATTTCTAGTTCCGTACTAGGTCTTTATAGCCAAAAAGGAACTAGTCCGATACGAACTAGATCCCCAGTCCAAAATCGGCGAAAAGTGGTACTTTTAAAAAACTATTTTTTTTAAGTTTTTTTTCAGTAGAAATCTATATCTAAACTGACGAATTTAGAAATGGTTCCGAACTATAGAAAAAGGGATGCAGAACGATTTACATCTTATTTGTCGAATTTAGAACTAGTTCGGAATTATAGAAAAAGGGATGCAGCGGGTGGCTTGTTTACTTTACATAGATATGTGTTCGGCGGCTTTTTCATTCAAATACGCTTCTATTCTGTGCTTCGCAGATGCTTTTTCATAGCTTGGTAATACAAAACTAAAATTTGTGTTAACATTTCAACATCTTGGGACAGTCTGGAATCTAAGAAATAACAGCGAGCACCTCTGCAAACTCAGCTACAGCTAAAGGTATGTAAACGTACATTTCTTACAATCATTCGAACAAATTTAATTTCAAATTGAAAACATATTTCATCCAAAACAATTTAAAATCGCACACACGGAAAAACCAAAAAGATTAAAAAATCATGATACTTTTTTCTTTCGTCTGTCGATTTTAGAACTGGTTCGGACCTATAGAATTTCGGACTAGTTCGGAACTTACGAAAAAGGGATGCAGCGGGGGGCAATTGACACTTCCTAGGACATCGCCATGTTAAATTCGCCAGTTGCTTGCATGCAAAAGAGATTTATCGCGAACCAGTACTGGGTCTAATTGAACTAGAAGCGCACCAGTTCAGAACTAGAGATTTTCCCCACAGGGTGTATACTATCATCGTCTTCGTGCGTCTTAAGCAGGGATCACACGATTTATATATTTGTACACAAAATGCCGAATTTAGATTTGTCCACATTTGCGCATTTGGATAGCGATGTACAAATGATTTGTTTTGCGATCAGACGATGTCGCTGCCAAAGATCCAAATGATTTGGCACACATTTACGCACAGCAGTAAATAAATACTTTTGCATTTATGATTTCGTGAGATTTGAAGTGAAATAAACAAAAATAATATGTACGCACAGCTACTCAGAATTTTGAATACACCCTAAAAATCTGGGCTGAAGGTAAAAAACGCGTTTTTCATAGGTTGAAGCATAAACTAGCTCGTAACTTTATTTCTGTTTGCCCGATGCAAACTACTTACATATGCCATTAAAGAGAAAACATTTCGTTGTTTACAACCATTTATATATGGTTAATTTGTCTTGAGAATGGGCATCCTATGTATTATACTAGTTAACAAAATAGTCGGAGAAGTCGTAATGTAAAATGAAAAAAAGTTAAAAATTTAAATTTTGCATATCGATGGCTGAGTGGAAGATCGACCTATCTCGGAAGCCAGTTCAAAAACGCCCTGTCTGAAAGATCTGAATGAGATCCGAAAACTAAAAGAAAGGTGAATAGTAAAGTGCCACGAAGGGTTGTCAAACGAATACTTTTCCGGTTGGTTTTCTGAAATTTTTCATTCTGAACTTCAAATATGCTTTTTTATAGTTAATTATACTCAGAAATTAATTATACTTCTAATATGTTCGTCTGCCGGCATAAGAGCCTGGAACTTCATGAAGGTTAAAAATAGTCGCACGCTTCTCTGCACACTCAGCTACTGTCGAATACGTATATGTACATGTTTTCAAATGTTCAGTTTGAGCAAATATTTTAAAAATATTGTTTTCAAATAACGTGATATTTTTCGGTAGTTTTCGGATACGAATATTATATTATATATTAATATTTTACCAAAATTGCAAAATACAAAGGTTCACAAGCACGAAATGGCAATACCGCTCAACAATATTTGTATATTTGTCACTGGCATTTGTCATCAAGTGGCAAATCAGATATTTGGTCATTTGCGTAATTTTTATTTGGCTTATGTAGCAGCATTGCGTTCACACGATTTGGCCACCAGGGTTGTTTTTCATTTGCCACAAGAAGGCAAATATTTGGCTTTTCTGATAAATGACAAATGTAATTTAGCGTTCACATGATTTGTCTACGAATTTGACAAATTTTTAGCCAAATGTACAAATCGTGTGATCCCAGCTTTACGATAATTGACGATTGACTGATGCTTCGCTGGTATTTCGGCAAAGCAAATCAAATCAGTAGCTGTTGAGAGTGTTCGGACACTAAAAGTTTTCTTAGTGATAAATAAGCATGAAAAATTGTGGTACATTCCAAAACAATGTGGTAGATTCAAATAAATAAATTTATGAATATGTTATATGCACATATGGTCAGCTGATTAAGTTAAGTGACATTTTGACCAGTTTTGGCTATTTATATTTTTGTTTACTTACTGTTTATCTTTTTTTGCTGAGGTTGCTAGGCATTTTCTTTCATATAAAAGAAATTGCCAATCATAAAAAATCAACGCGATTTCCTAGCGCTTAAAATTTGCACTTTGAGCTACTAAAATTTAATGGGCTATAAAAGTGCATACCTACAACTTTTCTAGAAATTCTAAATAAAGCCAAAGCGACGGAATAAGATGCTTTTTTTTAGAAATGATCTATCATTTTCGGATAGAGAATCATTTTCTAATAGACATTGATAATTTTCGTTTTGATGTATATTACTTTAACCAATCATAAATTTAATAAAGAACGCTGCTTTTAATTCTAAAAGCTTCAGTGCTCGATGACCCTCTTTCACCTTTTCCAAATGACTATGACACAGTTAGTCTGTTCCTTTGAACTTCGGACTAAAACCTGTGGAACTGTCAAACTACAATTTTACTCTCTCAAATGAGAGTAAAAGGAGAACAGATGCAGAAGTGCATAGGAACGCAAAAAGCGCTATTTCCTGTAAAAAGGTCAGTCGGATTGTTTACATGTCATTTGTACAACACTGATTTAGCTGAAATATCACTAAATAATTATTAAAATCTATACATATTCAAACATTTCGTTGTTTACTTCCATTTTTTTACAAATATAAGGTACTTTTCTTTCACCGCTGTTTGTTTTTGCTTGCACATGTAAATCAGCTGATCGTTTGACACTTTTCATGAACTTACAGGAAAAGAAACTCCGGACTAAATCCTGTAACTTCTGACTAGGAACAGTTGCTCAGTTACTCTCTAAAATGTGTTCCCACTTACAGGTTTTATGTCAATAGGAACGACTTCCTGTAAGTTCTGAATAAATCCTGTAAACCGGACTGCTATTGAAACAGACTTAGGGCCGGTTTCTCCATCTCTGGTTAACACTAACTCCCCGGTTAAACATTGTTATCGACGTTCTAACTCCATGCATATAACAGGGAGTCGATAAGGT